TTCCACATGAAAGTAAAGAGTCATACTGTTAGAAACAGAATCTTGTCCTTAGTCACAGATGCAAGAGAAAGAATTACTGAATATGAGTTGATGAAGGAAACTGCAGTTCAGTATTATAAAAATCTTTTAGTAAAATAGGTGTTTTCTCTTATGAGAAATCAAGATATGTGGAGAAACTGATCTCTCTTATTATCTCTGATGTGCAGAAACAGCTACAGCAAGCACCAGTACTAGATGATGGGATAAAAGAAATCGTTTTTGGAATGAAGAATGGTAAATCACCTGGACCAAATGGGTATGCTAGTGAATTCTTTAAAGACAGTTGGGATGTAATTGGAAGGGAGATGGCTAATGCTATAAGGTTCTTCTTTGAACAAAGTTATATGTTTTATCCCTAAAACAGCACCTTTGTAACACTAATTCCTAAGGTGAAAATGCTCTGCATATGAAGGACAATAGACCTATTACTTGTTGTAACACACTTTACAAATGTATTACTGCTGTTCTTGCTGCTAGATTGAAGAAAGTGCTTCTTATGTCAATTTTCACTACTCCGAATGCTTTTGTAAAAGGCAGATAAATAGCAGATAGTATTCTCTTAATGCATGAGTTGGTCTGAGACTATTATAGAAGTAGAGGCAGGGCAAGATTTGTCTTTAAAGTTGACTTGATCAAGGCCTATGATACTGTGGATTGGGAGTTTTTATTTGCTGCTATGCATGCAATGGGATTCCCTGATAAGTTCGTAAGTTGGATTAGAATGTGTGCGACCACTACTAAATTTTCTATCAATATGAATGGTGCATTTGTGGATTTTTTTCTCTAGTGAAAAAGGATTAAGGCAGGAAGATCGTCTCTCTCCTTATTTGAGCCATGAAGGTCTTCTCAGTCATCCTTAAGAAGAATATAATGGAATGTGGGTTTGACTTTCACCCTTATTGTGTTCAATTGCAAATTTCTCAATTGCATTTGCTGATGATCTATTTTTGGTTTCTGCAGCAACTGTGAACTCTTTCAAAGTACTTAAACAATCTCTTGTTGACTTTGAAAAGCTATCTGGTTTGAGGCCAAATCTTAGTAAGAGCAATGTATATTCGTCTGGTGTAGGAACAGAGGAATGTGAGATATTATGTAATACCATGGGGCTGTCTAAAGGTATGCTACCTGTGAATACTTGGGATTCATTTTTATTTCCACTAAGTTGAGTCAACCAGTGTTTAATAAGCTGAAGCAAAGACTTCAAGATACAGCAGCCAAGAAATTGAGTTATGGAGGAAGGTTGCAACTTATACAATCTCTGTGTAGTGGGATATACTTATGCTGGACTAATGTTTTCATGTTACCCAAATCAGTAATCAAAAAGATGAATAGCATGCTGGCTTTTTTTTTTTTTAATGGTCTGGTGATCTTAGAACTAAGTATGCTACTAAGGTACAATGGTTTGATATTTGTAAACCAAAGAAAGAAGGAGGATTAGGCATCCATAATACATTGCATTGGAATCAATGTTTGATTCTAAAGTTTATATGGAACCTATACAAGAAGAAGGATTCTTTATGGGTTAAACGGATTCACTCAGTTATGTTGAAAAATCAAAGTTTTGGGCAATGACGATACCTGCAAATGCTTTATGATGGTGCTGGAAAAAGCATCTTCAGCTTAGACCACCTGCTCAACTATGGATTAGTGTATCTATTGGAGCTGGTTGTAACGCGTTTTTTAGGCATGTTGATTGGTACACTGAGGGTCCTCTCTACTTAAAGCATCCTGAGTCTCGACTTAAGAACTTGGAACTTTATCCAAACTCAAAAGTTGCTGACTCTGTGAAGAATAGAAGCTGGAATCGGTCGACAGGTAGAAGATTTAATGCTTTGGTGCAAGAGTTTCAGCAAATCACACCAGTGGTTTTGCTTGCTGAACCAATTACATAGATCAAATCATGTCAAATGGGCAGCCCCTTCTTCTAGTGAATTTTCTGTGAAATCTGCCATGAAGGTAATATATCCTCAAAGTAGTACAGTACAATGGTTTAAACTGGTATAGGGTGAAGGGAGTGTGCCAAAATATGCTTTCATTATGCGGCTAATGCTGAATAGAAAGTTAATGACTAAGGACAGGTTGCTCAAATGGGGTATAACTACTTTCTCTTTTAGATGTGTCCTGTGTGACATAGCAGATGAATATTTGGATCACTTTTTTTTATTGTGGATTTTTCAGATGTGTGTGGGATAAGATGCAATACCTGTGCTTGATCCATAGAGGTCCCTTACCATGCAGTTTAGGAAATGGAATGATGGTGCAAGCATTCTCATAGGAAAACTTTTGGTGCAAAACTAAGAAAGACTGGTGCTTGCAGTAACCATGTGGCATCTGTGGCAGGAAAGAAATAGGAGAGTTTTCATTTTGTTGAGGCAACAAGTAGCAAAATTTTAATTGACATTGTCAAGGTTATTCAGCTACCTATCATATCTTGGCCAAAGGCTCCACAAACACAGGAAAATTGGCATCTGATGTTAGAATTGGGATTACATCCAAATTGTCTAACATAGTTGAGCAAATGTATAGAAATTATATTTGTATAGGTAAGTATCTTAAAATGTGAATAATGATTGATTAGATCATTAGAGATGATTGTGATGTAGTAGGTTGAGATTCCCTTTTGTAAAGCTGATTTTCACATGATTAATGAAAGTACAATTTTCCCCAAAAAAAAAGGAGAAAAGGACTGAACTTTATTGCTTTGTGAATCTGATGCTCAACTCACAACAAAAAGCTACATAGAGCTAAAAGCAACGGAAAAATGCTCAAAACTAGGAAGTGCAGCCACTAGCTATTTGATGAAGTGCTCACATATGCAAAAACTCCACTAAACTAGGTAAAATCAAAACAAACTAAAATAAACTCCTATTAACATGATTGAGTAAATATACTCCCTCCGTCCCACTTTGATAGTCCTGTTTTCCTTTTTCATCTGTCCCAAATTGCAGTTCACTTTCCAATTGAAGAATATAGTTGTATTTTAATTTTCTTAAAATACCCTTATTCAATGTAAGTTGTTGTTACTATAAACCTACTCCATTTAATGAGAGTTGATTCTTTTTTTACCATCAATTCAAGTTCCCATAAAGTTGTACTCTAATTAATGTGAGGGTATTTTAGGAAAATAGCTATCTAAATTGATTGTTCCAACATAATTAACTACTTTTTATTAAACTGTGTAAAAAATAAACCAGGACTATCAAATTGGGACGGAGGAAGTATCTAACAAATTTGTCTAACAGGAATGAGATTAAGGATTTTAAGAATTTTGGTTTTGACTTTGTTCAATGGTGTCAGATTTTGGGACTCACCAGCTACTTAAGGAAGGACTAAATAGGTCCAACAACAACAGTAATAATAATAGTAATAAAAGTCAGAATCAGATAGGCAGGAGGAAAAGTTTAAGGACTAAATCTGATTTAGTAAAAGTTGGAGGACCAAATAACCAATTTGACCAACAGCAGTTCGTTATGTCAGCTAGATTATTTTGAGCTTTTTCGATTACTACAAAAGATCTCAATCCAAATTCCAAACTTACACTCATTCATTGGAGAGATTCATCTGAAAGTACAAAATTTTGACTCTGCCTAACAAATATCATCATTATTTTTCGTCTTATTGCCATCCTTGCGTCCTTTCAAAATATAATCACCCATTCAACCTCATTTACAAGACAATTTGTCACAACAAAAATCAAAGCCCACAACTTCTTCTAGACAAGCAATCCCTCCACAGACACGCATGCCATATTGTCAAAGAATGGCAGCCAAACTGAGTGTTTAGTACCAACGAAAAAAAAAAATAGTCTTTAACACCCAACTTACTTAATAGAGATATTAATCAGGTAGCCATAAGTTTCTAATTCAATTCTCAAATTTTCTCTTTTCTTCTTATAAGGATTAAAGCTTCCCTTTGATTGAAAAAAAAAAAAAACACAACAAAATAGGATTTATGCTACGAAAGAAGTTGTAATAATTATTAGAAAGGAAGGGTTTTCCACTTCTTTTCACCCTTTATTAGTCCTTTCTTCACCTCAATGTATCTAAATCCGCGTACCTTATTTGCGCAAGAGTCTCCAAACAAATACTACAATGAAGACTGCATCATAGACACCACAATTGACCTTGTCAACGGACATGGCTTTACGGCAATTACTATTATTGGTCTCAACTTGACGTGGCCCCCCTGAAGAAGTCGTATTTTATAACATCACATGGCTTGTTCTCGTTGGACAGGGAAAAAACAATGAAGAGGACAAAGTAAACCTAATCTTGGCCTTAAAGAGCTGCTCTGTGACGTATGATTCTCATGTGTAATTTCTTGTAAATTCATTGGTTTTTGTTCCGCAAACTCTCGAACATTCATTATTTCACTTTTGCAAATAAATAGTGCCCAAATAAACACAAAAATTTGTTCCCAAACTATATCTTTTATTGGTTTGGAATCTTATTATGAATTCGAACTGACTCCACTTTGTACTCCTAAATTTGTATCACTTTCTTATTTTATATCCTAAACTTCAATTTTAATTTTGGACACTTTAGACCAAAACTCTCAAAATTGTCTCATTTAAGTCCAATCAATAATTATATTTACAAAATTTATAAGATAAAAGATGGTGAAAATTAATGACAATGTATTGTTTTGTTCTAATTGCGATTCCTTAGCTTTTTTAACCCACTTTTAGTACATTATCATTGATTGATATAATCTGAATCACTAATATTGGTAGCAATATTAATGAGATAAAATATTGTGCATAATGTATTTTTTTTATTTTTGCTACGATACCTAGACCCCTTTTGACTACTTTCAAAACATTAATTATCATCAATTTGTTGGGTTGCATACGCCATTAATTTTACTATAATTGTCATTCACTATAATATTTTTCGGAATTACAAACTGATCTCGTGGAATCTTCCCGATGTTCCGCGTTGACAAGACATTTATTAGCAAACAAACCGGCGGCTACAGGGTGGGGCTACCAATGCCAATTTACAATTTTCTAGTGTTCGTCATAGAATAGAATTAGAAAACTCGGACGAACTTTCACTTGTTCAACTACAAATGGCAACGACTATGATGGAGTCCAAGAAATTACCGGCTCATAATAGTCTCTTCGCCCTCAATCTTTCCTCTGTTTTTTCGTTCAATCACTCGTTCTTGTTCGCCTAAACCAAGTTAGTGATGATGAGGTCCTGGAACCCTGCTTATCCTCCAAAGGATGCCATACCATGGTGTCGAGAGGCCAAGTCCTTCTGTACTTCAGTCAAAGTAATTGGGATTTCAGCAGCGTGCTTGGTGGGATTCTTTGTTTTGTATTCTGCAATGGAAAACAAGCCTTTCTATGGCCAGAGGACGAGTGACTCGGGGCCTTGGAGAAAAGGTACTGCTTCATCAAGAACTTGATAGGCTTAGTTCATCATACTGTTAGTTTGTTGTAGCTCGTTAAACCTGCGAAGTTGATAGCTGCTTTCACGCCAGTTTGTTCGGTTACCCATTCATTGATTTCTACCACACAATTGCAAGGCAGTGGGCATGATTTTCTGAGGGGATAATATTAGAAACCCCCTGAAGTTTCTCCTAATATCACTTAGCACACCTGAAATTTTAAAAATAATCACTTACCTTCCCCTAGTAATTACAAATTGACTGTATTAATTCTCACTTGATACATATTTCACATATCGAATGAATAGATGAAACTCAAAAAATTAAAGAAAAAGAAATAAAAGACACTTTTTTCTCTTTTCCCTTTCACCGACATTTTCTCTTACTCATTTTTTTGGATGATTATGTATTTTTTATTTGTAAATTATAGTAAATTAAATTTTATTTATCTTTTTCTATTTGTGATTGTGATAGAGTGGGGTATAATTTCTTTGTTTATTTTGAGTTGATTTTTATAATAATTTAGTTCAGCTTAAAGGTTTGGGTGATTGGTTTATAAGAGGTTGGGAAAGAAAATGAGATTCATGAAAAATCGGTTTTGAGCATAGAGTTGAATTGGTGCTAGTATATATCTTTACAAATATCTTTTTTATTTTTCAAATTTATATTTTTATGGACTATAGTTTTTTTTTTGGAGTAAACAATTTGGCTTAAGAGTATTTTGTTTAGCAAAATAAGCAAAGGATAGTTTAAGGTTTTTCAAAATTTTGTTGCACAAATAACAAAATTAAGGGAAGTAAGTAATATTTTTAAAAGTTTAGAAGTACTAAGTGATATTAAGAGAAATTTCGGGGAAAGTTTCTAATTTTATCCCTTTCCAAAACATCAAAATTTAGGACTCTCAGAAATTATACACTCTTAGTAAGAAGCTCAATTTCCAAACTGCTTTTAAAGTCGGCCTTGTTCAATGAAATCATCAAATCTTGATTATTTTTTTTAATACCAATACACTTTAATTTCCTAGAGCTTTCATGAAGAAATGGTTGCTATTATTACTTTGGAATAAATGCAGTTTTGGATCTCAATATTTGATTTATGTGTGTTAAATTGGATCCTAATGTTTTAGTTGCTAAATTATTATTTTAAGAGAAAAAACTGTTTTGGTCCACAATGTTTAGCCCATATCCCAAATTGATGCCTAATGTTTTGACCAAAATAAATTTGGTCCTCAAAATTTTAGATTTTATGCATATTTAGGACAAGTAACGGAAAATCACAATAACTAATAGTCAAAATTAAATTTTTATTAGTTAAAAGTTTTAATTTTGCATTTTGGTCATTAGATATTTAAGTGTCTATCAATATGGTCCCTTAAGTTTCAAATAATCATAATTATGGCTTTAAAATAAACTAAAATATGAATTTAATTAGATATATGATAGATTTGTTCCTAAATCTCTATGAAAATCCCTAAAAGCACATAATATTGGCACAACATTATCCTTTAACCTAAAGAGAAACTCTTTGTTAAATTAGTTACAATTGAAAAACTACACACAAATAATATATGAAATAAAATTAGTGTAAGAAGAGAAAATTCTAATTTAGTACATAATTTTAATCCATCTACTACTGCACAAATTCTTGCCATACTTGTAGGTGTAGGTATTGAATGGTTGTAGCGTGATTATAATAACTAGTGAGGTACAATAGTATGAAGTACTTTTACGGATTTTTGGAAAAACTTTCTCTTTTTTTTTGTCTTTCCTTCCTATTAAAACCAATGTTCTAATAAGAACATTTGTAAGGAAATTATTTTAATGTTCATATATATAGATAATTTTGTTGAATAATTTAAATAAATTTGTAAGATACCTATTTCATTTGAATCTTAATTGATAATCTACTGAAATGTAAAAAGAAAGAAAAGTTATTAGATTATCAACTTAATTCATATTAGTATATATTGCTCATGTTTTAAGAGGATATTTAATTACTTGTTCAGTAATCAGTATAAGCCAAAAAATGATAGAGCTCATGCTTCATTAATTATTCATCATGTAAAAGAATATTCACACATATTATGCCAAATTTGTGACCAACTAAACTATCTATGAAAGATAGAAAGATATGAGAAATTAGTGGCATGAATAAATAAAATAAAATAAAAAAGAAAGAAAACAAGAATTTTCAATTGGATTTCCTAGCATGTGTTTGCAGTAATTTCAATTTAATTTATAACTCATTTTATTCTAAAATCCTCAGCATCACTATCTAAAATTTAAGGGACTATAATGATTCAAACTCCAAATAATAGGAACCTGCAATGCATAATCAATACTGTTGACCAACAAGAAATTGATTTTGGCCGTCAGAATTGTTAAATATTCGTCAATTATCCTAAATTTGCATAAAATAGAAACTTTGGGGGTCAAATCTATTTTATGAAGCTTCATGAAATCTGATATATCACTACGTAAAAACCGTACTAGAATAGGATTTTATACCATATAAACTATTTTTATGATAATTAAAATAATAAAGAACAGCAGGTGTCACCTCAATTTTTGCAATGCTATATAATACATTTCTAGTTACAGTTTTTTTTTTTATATATATAACTTTCCTATTCTTGACATAAACACCATTTTCCTCACATTAAAATACCATTATATCTTTTAGTTTTTCGGTTCACACATATAGTTATTGGATTTTTTTATTAGGCAATTTCATTCATGATGCTAACACGAAGCCAATAAGATATGAGAAATATGATTTGTTTTGCTAACTTGGATGTATGTTGGTGCTGTACAAAAATAGCAGTTGGATTTGTTTAATCTTATGAGAGTTCGTTCATCTGTTCGTAATTATTATGAAACCTTAACTAGTCGTGCAACGCATCACACCAAGTGTTCAGCATATTTCGTGTCTCAAAGGGTTTTTGGAATCCATATTGTGGCTCAAGAATTGCTTCAGTCAACTGTTGCCCTCTATAGTTGTAAACTTCACATTGTAATATGGTATTAATGTGTGGATCATTAGAACCATTTTCTTGGAATTTAAACTCCCGTGTTCTCAACTATTTTTTATCTTGACAGATGTTGATTTCGATGATATTATAAGGCGGACCAGGGAAATGGGAGAATATTTTGCCCAGCCAGTCCAGGAACCAAAGGACAAGCTTCTTGGTGGCCTTCTACCGGAAGGATTAGATGTAAATTCATGTGTAAGTAGGTATCAGTCAGCCTTGTACAGAAAGGTACAGAAACACCAGCCTTCTTCCTATCTGGTCTCCAGGTTGAGAAAATATGAAGCCCTGCATAAACAATGTGGACCATTTACAGAGTCCTACAACAGAAGCTTGGAATATCTTAAGTCAGGAAGCCACAGCCAATACACAAATTCCACAGGTTGCAAGTACGTTATATGGACTCCCCCAATCCATGGTTTAGGAAACAGAATACTTAGTTTGGCATCTGCTTTTCTCTATGCTCTCCTAACAAATAGAGTCCTACTTGTTGATCCAGAAAGTGAAGTTCCTGATCTTTTCTGCGAACCATTTGAGGTTTCTTGGTTACTTCCCTCTGATTTCCCTCTAATTGGCAACTTCAGTGGCTTTGATAAAAACTCTCCTCAGAGTTTTGGAACACTGCTGAAAAATATTAGTCGTGGTAGTTCGAATTCATCTTCCCTGCCACCCTATATTTATCTCCATCTACTCCATGACTATGATGATGATAACAAGCGTTTCTTTTGCAATCAAGATCAACCTGTCGTCCAGAATGTGACTTGGCTGATTGCCAAATCAAACGTGTATTTTGCACCAGCTCTTTTTTCAGTTTCAACTTTTCAGCAAGAAATTAGCAGTCTCTTTCCAGATTTAGGAACTGTGTTCCATCACTTGGGCCGTTATCTCTTCCATCCCACGAACTTTGTTTGGGGGCTTATCACCACGTATTACGACACTAACTTAGCTAGAGCAGATGAAAGGATAGGCATCCAAATACGAGTATTTGAGAAAGATCCTGAGCTTAAATTGTTAGATCAGATTATGGCGTGTGCAGCGAAGGAAAATCTACTGCCACTAGTGAATGGGACAGAACCTGTTGCCAGCCAATCTCTTAAGACTAAAGCTGTTTTGATAGCTTCTTTAGAATATGGCTACTTTAAGGCAATGAGAAGCATGTACTGGAAACATTCCACGGTCACAGGAGAAGTGATTGAAGTACACCAGCCAAGTCATGAAAAATATCAGTACAATGATAAAAAGATGCACAATATAAAAGCATGGGCAGAAATGTATCTGTTGAGCTTGACTGATAAGCTGGTGACAAGCGCAGATTCGACTTTTGGTTATGTAGCTCATAGTCTTGGAGGTTTGAAGCCATGGATCCTTTACAAGCCTGAGAATCATGTAGCCCCTGATCCACCATGTAGGCGTGCTGTGTCAAAGGAACCATGTATGCATGCCCCTCCGTATTTTGATTGCATAACAAAACAATGGACTGGCCCAGGTGCTAAACTTGATCCTCACGTACAGCATTGCGATGACAAGTGGTATGGTATTAAATTTATTGACAGAGAAGAGAACTTGTGACCTTTTTTTACAAATCATGAAAAAATAGAATCAGATTATAATCTCTCTTGAGCACCTCACGTCTTGCAGTGATCTAGTCGAAATTTAGTTTCTTCTTCTATCATGGATTGGCTGAAGACCACTTTACTACTCAATTTTGCTACAGGGCTGTAGTCGTTTCAGTTTGACAATTAAAACTAGGAATTAGTGACATTAATTGGCCTCAGTATTGCTACTGTAGGTCCTGTAAATCAGTAAAGGCTGTAATTTTGGAGAAGGCATGATAATTTCATTAGAAATTTGTGACGTTTCTTGATACTTTTTTTTTTCAACAGCCTGAATCAGACTTTTGTTGTTTTATAAACCTAATCCCAGAATTAACCTCAAAAGCCGGCAACTCTTGAGGCAATCCCAGGGACTTATATCCCAACCCAAACCCAACCCCAACCCCGATGTGGGACAAATGTACCTATAGGGGGGACCTGCTGCTAAGTGGGATACTACCACCCAATACCCTTTCAACCCTGAGGCAATTTGTCTTTTTTCAACAGCCTGAATCAGACTTTTGTTGTTTTATAAACCTAATCCCAGAATTAACCTCAAAAGCCGGCAACTCTTGAGGCAATCCCAGGGACTGACGTTTCTTGATACTTGATAGGGGAATTTTCCAGAAGCTATTGTATTGTGCATGCTTTGACAATGCTATTCCTTTCTTGTGCTTGTCCTTGGAAGTTGATAGCATAAAAGTGGACAAAGCATTAATCCTCTAGTCATCAAGTGCATCACCAGTTTTGTGCAATATGAACAAGATAAGAGATATGAGACCTTATGTATATTTCAGAGAAGTATGACTGACATTTGCACAAGATAAGAGATATGAGACGTTATGTATGTTTTAGAGAAGTATAACTTACATTCCTGATGTAAAAAGCAACAATTTTTTTGCAGATGTAGGTAGCAATATGATGTAAATGAGTTTTAATATGTCTCATAGAGTTGTGCAGCTGTAAATGGAATAGTTTTTGCAGCATCAAGATTGGAGTTGTAGTGTTTAATTGTTCCTGTAGATTAAGTTAGCTTGGTTCCATTGCTGCACCTGCAGCATATTGGAATCATATTATAGTGCTATAAATCCAAATGAGGTTCTTTAAGTAGTTTGGTTAAGTGTTTTCTTTGCAAGATGAACATGATTATGTTCCAATCGAATTCAACATTGACAAATTTGTGGGAATCCACACAAGCTATTTACCAATACCCTGACTGGCAAATGGCAATAACATAATTCTGCATTTCTAAGTAGCCAGCTGTATTTTACTGATTCATAGATGACTATTGTATGATTATAATTTGTAACACCGAAGGAAATGACACTCTAGTACAAAAAAGTAGTAGTTTATCAGCAGACAACAATGTTGTGATAATGAAAAAGTAAAAGAGGCAAGAAAATGAGGACGGATGTGGCTAAGGTTGAGACTCTAAGAATTAAAAATTTAGAGTTCTAATCCTCTGTCCCTCCTCGACTTTTAAATTCCACCTTTCTTTTGCTAGAAAAAAAAAAGAGGATGAATATCTCGACAAATTGCTCTCAAGTGAGTAGTGCAGTCTTTTACCTTTTCTATTTTTTTTTTTTATGACTGTGAAGGGAAATAAGAGAAGTTTCTAATATGTTTTAATCTCTATTACCTCAATTCAAAAAATCCCAAATTATTACTTAATTTTATCAGTAAGCAACCATCAAATCCCATTATCACTTCTCTGGTGTAATGTAATGGCTGAGGCCTGAGATATGAAGAAAGTACACTTGGAGATGATCTAATGCTCAAAACTGTTGTAGGAAAATTCTAACATCAAGGCTAAATTAAACATTTGATCCAAAGAGAATTTTGTTGGGTTTGAAGTGAAGTTTAGGTGATTTAAAGGCTGAATTCCTACGTAGTCTCCCCTTTCCATTGTCAAAAACACAACCAAGCCAATGGATAATCCAATAGGCAAAGCCAATTTGAACTTCATGAAATAACTTCCATATTTAGTTGTTAATCTTATCAATAAATTGGGATTAATTTGATTAATTAGCCCATATCAAATTTGTGATAACAATCAAGCAATACCCAATGGATAAAAATTGGTGGAAACTTCATTATCTGGGTAAAACAACAAAGAAGCATTCTAGAATGCTATTCAAATGCACAGTTACGATGCCATAATACGATGACATGGCCACATGGGGTAAGGGATGGCAATAGCGGAACGAGGGAAGTTCTAATATATGTGGAGTTTATTGCCATTATGATCTTCCTCTTAAAAAATATTTTCAATCTAACGCAATTTCAAAATTTATTCCCTTGTTAATATATTTGTTACTATGTGACTTTAAATATAGAAAACTAATCATGCTTAACTTTGACTCTGATAATGATCATAGTTTAGTGTGAACTATAAAAGTTCCATTTTAAAGGAAAAGAGAAATGAAAAAAAAAAGTCTTGCAACTTTTTGATCCATCATAGAGAATCTATGTCATAAGTAGCATTAGAATTAACATCAAAGTTAGTTAATAGTTGACATCTGAAAGAGTTATCATTATGCATTCTAACAATAAAAAATCATGAATTAACACAATAAATCTCTAAAGATTTTCTGTTTATCTATATGGCAATTTAGCGTACACATGGCAAGAAAATTTTTTAGTTGCTATGACGATTTAAGAAATTTTCAAATATATTAAGAATTTCCTCAAGGTAGACAATGAACGATATATAGAGAAGAAGTAGCAAAATTTGAGCAATTGAAAAATAATGAAGGATTCGTCTAGTGTGAATTTTAATTAAGATTTTAGGAGTAGTTATTGACATTTGAATGGGATTTACTTTTCAAGTTCAAAGAAGATAAAGAGCAAAAGTTTAAGGGTGATTAGTTTTCCGTATTTAAAGTCTACATGGCAACAAACATATTAACAAGAGAATAAATTTTGAAACTGCATTGGTTTGGAAATATTTTTTAAGAGAGAGATTATTGTGGCAATAAACTCAGCTAAATGGTCTGTGTTTCTTTTCATGACGCATTGTGTTGAAAATTTTTTGTGCTTATCAAATAACCTCCATATTTAGCTGTTAATCTTGATGAAGTGGCCGTACATAACTGGACCTAAATGAAGAAACCAATTTGTACCTTATCAAAATAACCTCCATATTTAGTTGTTAATCTTGATCAAGTGGCCATAAGAATTGGACTTAAATTGATTGATTAACCAATGATCAAAATTATGACAGCAATCCAATCCATAATTAATCAGGCCGGAATAAGTTAAGGAATAGTTGAATAATAAAAAACTAGTAGAAACTGCATCAATGACATAAAAGAGACAAAGAACCATTTTGTAATTTACAATTACATCCCTGAACAGTAAGAAACTGTCCACAGCGCTAATTTGATCTTTAAGTGCTTAACAATGATTATAGCCCTTTTTAACCAGCAATTGAGATTATTATTTTGCCCCCTCCCACTTAAAAGTACAAAATCATCCACTTTTTGGGCTGTGCATGTTGATGTGACGTGTGAGGGCAGGACGGTCTTTACATAGGTCTACAGTCAAAATGCTTACAAAACATACACAAAACACTTTGGCTAACTACTCTAACCAATTCACCATATTCTATCCACGTGGCAACAATCCAAACTCTGCTACAGAGCTGGTGGCTTCTTTTTTCATGCTATTGGAAGATAATTACTATAGCTACGGGCAGTGGCAGAGCCACATACAAGCAAAGTGGGGTCAATTGACCCCATTTAACTTAAAAAAAAATTAGTTCTTTGACTTAGGAAATTTGAAAATTTTTAAAGTTACATCTTATTTGACCCCACTATATTTTATCAAATTCTCTTTCCTATATACATTGATCCCAAAAAATTGAAAATTCATAATTCTTACCATCACAATAATTTTGAACTTATTTCAAATTATCTATGGAAGTTAGTTCAAGAATAAATTCATCTAAAATTTTCAAACAAAAAGGATGAACTTTCTTGAGTGGAGTGAGAAAACCAATTTTTCAAATCATTTTTTTTCTCAAACTTCAAAGTTTTCAAAAACAAGAATTATTCAAGTGGACGGTAAACGTTTTATTTATAATACAAAATTAAGTTATTATGATTTTTTTTATTTATAATAGGGTAAAGATAAATTTTATATAAAAAAAACTTGTAGAAGATCAAATTGATGGTGATTCGTAGATTATTTTTAAAAATTCAAGAGATTCAATTACTTACATTGAAAAAGATGCATTTAACAAAATTGATAATGAATTGATTTTGCATCATTTAAAAGAAAAAAAAAAGAGTACTCGTAGGATATAATTATAACCTATATATAATATTAATAATTTTTTATTTTTTAAAAAATAAATTTTACTGTACTAAATTTTGACCCCACTTACCGTAAGGGGTCTTAGCTCCGCCCTCGGCTACGGGACCAGGGCAATGCAAATTGTATACTTTGTTCAGGGGTATCTCCCTCCATTTGGAGATCAAATGTTAGCTTACAGACTTGAGATCACATCAAGCATCAGCTACTAAGTTCAAGTTGTCATTATAAATCTGATGCATTGATTTTTTTTTTTTAGAGAGTAATCACATTGGAAATGAGCTTTTCAATTGAAAATTTTGCATTTCCCATGTCCAACTCTTTGCCCATCAACTTCCTACTTCACTTTTAGCCGACACAACCTTTATAAATACCAGCTTGCAAGTTTTCTTTCAAAGATTTCACTGATGATGCTCCAATTGTTGTGATAAGTCAAAAGGAGTTTTAACTTTTTTTGTTTTTTCTTTTGATGTGAAAGAGGTAGCTCAATTAAACTAAAAAGTATTTTTTTAATCCCTTCCCATATCATTTCAACTCCGAATTGCCAATACGAACCCTGAATTTGAAATTAAAGAGGAATTAAAAAACGCTCTCTGGTCCAATGCAATGAATCATTATGGTCTACAATTAGGGCTGCAAACGAATCGAACCGCTCGCGAGCGGCTCGAGTCAAACTCGAGCTCGAACTCGAGCTCAGAATATTAAGCTCGTTAGTCGGCTCGCGAGCTTGAATATATATATATATTTTTTATTATTTTTATTTTTATTTAATAATAAAATTACGTATATTATATATATATTTTTATGTTTTATTTTCATAGTAAAATTACGTATATATCCTTAATATTTTATTATTTATTAAGAAAAAAAATTTATTTTATTTATTTTTTAAAAAATAAAATAATTATTTTAAATTTTTTTCGAGCTCGAGCTTGAAAATTGCCGGTTCGTCGAGCTCGAGCTTGGTAAAATTCAGTCGAGGCTCGGCTCAATTAGCTCAAAACTTGACTCGACTCGGCTCGTTTGCAACCCTATCTACAACTAGTTTTTTTTTTTTTTTTTGTGAGTGGGAGGTCTCTCTCTCGGGAGAGCTCCCACTTATTTGAAACTATTCACCCTATGATGCATATTTTAAAGTAGATGAAAGGATAGGATCCAGATAAGAATTTTGACAGCAATGAAGGTCTTTTAAGTATTGGAAACGTGTACTTAGATCTCAATATAGAGGAGATTGAAATATTAAATAAACTACCAAAGTTGTAACATATTTCAGGAAGGAATGAATTAAATGGCACAGGAAAACAGAGTGTAAATGAGAGATTCGAAATTTAAAACCTCACACCTATACTTAAAAAAAAGTCAAAAAAAAAAGTTGTAACATACTCGGAGCATTTGGACAACATTAAAGCATTATTGAATACTCCCTCTGTCCTATCTTGATAGTCCTAGTTTTTTCACACAGTTTAAGAAAAAGTAATTAACTTTGTTGGAAAAACAAATTTAGATTGCTATTTTTCTAAAATACCCTTACATTAAATAAAGTTGGCTTTTCATATATCTATATGTTTTGAAAAATCTAAATGCATTAAATGGGGTATGTTATATTCAATACTAATAATCTATATTAAATAAGGTAATTTATAGTAATAACAACTTACATTAAATAAGGGTATTTTAGAGAAATTAAAAGATAACTACATTTTTCAATTGGAAAGTGGACTACAATTTGGAACAAACGAAAAAAGGAAAACAAGACTATTAAAGTGGGACGGAGGGAGTATCTATCTAGATTA